TAATACCAAACTATTTGTATAGCTACGAGTGTTAGAAATAGATGACTCGCTTCGAAGTAAGTAAGCGTCATCACAGCACTGTGGTACTAATTTTGTATATATTAGCACTTTAACAGGGATACTTAGCTACAGAGCCAAACTATTACTGTCATATATATTATGAAGAATACTGTTTTAGGAACAAAATGCTTGAATAATGATGTGAGATGGATCATACTGTGTCAATTTATGGAAACGCCTTTATTTCTCAAGTCCAATTTGTATAAAGCATCTTCCTGTGTCAAAGTGGACATATCATGGCTGATGATGATGACGACACAAACATAATACAACTTTATGATAACTACCATTGGAACCTCATTTGCCAGTAAAAAATATGATCATTGATTTTTTACCCTTCTATCTGGCAACAAAACTGACACCTTTTTACAAGGAGTCATGTTTACATAGACCACAATACCTACAGCCATAATGCAAACAAAAAACATAACTCTGATAATATATGCACTGTCCTTGAAGTTGATTGGTCCACACCCGAGACAGCTTTCCTTAGAGCCTAGTCTCACATGAGTTGGACCAGATGACGCCAAAAGGCGTCATCTGGTCAAAAGGCGTCATCTGGTCCAACGCCAAAAGGCGTCATCTGGTCCAACCCATGTGAGACTAGGCTCACATGCAGATAGAAAAATAAAAATAATAATAAGAAATAAAGTGAATAAAATACTGTAGCCTGGTTCTTCATCGGAGTGAGTGTGCTGGCAGTCTATAATGTAGACTGTAGCCTGGTTATTAAATTTGGTGAGTGTACTGGCAGTCTATAATGTAGACTGTAGCCTGAAAGAAAAAAACAGCCACGACGTTTCGATCGCAACACAAGCGGTCGTCATCAGGAAAAGGGGGGTTAGCCTCTAAAGGCAAACTGTTTATAAAGGTTTGGAGTTGGGCATAGCCCAAGTGTCTCAGCGGCACCAGCAGCAGCATGGGTGGGGCAGGTAATGCCAATGCTGGAGAAAACAATGGCACCGGCAGTGGGTCTACACCAATCAAAGGGCTGCCAGGCAATCACTGCACCCCACTCCACACACCCACACTGATGACGGTGGAGGATTATTGACAAGAAAACACAAGTCAAGTCATGACCCAAAGTGGTTGATGACATCTTTCCAATGATTGCTGAGTTTATCACCATCCTCTCGGTTGAAATTGTGTCTGTATATATGGATGGCTTCATGAACGAATCTTAGAGAAATCAATTTCGTGTGAGCCAGCCGCATTAAAATGGTGATCAGCCACGGCAGAAGTATTGGGCCTACAGTGTTTCAAATCTGCCTTATGCTCACGAATACGGTCCGAGACATGTTGCTTAGTTTCCCCAATGTAACTGCTGCCGCAGATACAGCTTAGTTTGTAGATGCTAGGACATAGCATGTCAGGATTCTTGTCCTTCACAGATGGAATCAGATCACAAATGTTATGTACTGTGTTAAATCGGACCTGGATCTTGTGTTTGTTCATGATCTTCTTGGTTCTTTCGGTAAAGTCACATAGAAGGGAAATAATAAAATAATAAAAATAAAACATAATAAAATAAAATTCTCACGACGTTTCGGCCACAACGCAAGCAGCCGTCCTCAGGTGAAGAACAGGGCTGTCGGAAAGACAACGTCCCATTCGGATGCTGTCTTTCCATTCGGACGCTGTCTTTCCGACAGCCCTGTTCTTCACCTGAGGACGGCTGCTTGCATTGTGGCCAAAACGTCGTGAGAATTGTATTTTATTGTTTTATTTTTATTATTTTATTACTTCCCTTCTACGTGACTTTACCGAAATAACCAAGAAGATGAATCCCTGCAGTCACGAAAGCTTTAAATCGAAATTTGTTCATGATTTTAGAAATCTTTTTGGTTACCCCTGCTATGTATGGCAAGGTGATGGTTTTGATTGGATCCTCAGATGGCTCCTTCCTCACGGTTGGGGTAATGGCTTTGCGGATTGTGTAGTCAGAATATCCATTCGCCTTGAGAGCTTGGTGTACATGTATGAGTTCATTGGTTAGGTGTTCATGGCCGAAGATACATTGAGCTCTATGGTGTAGCGTTTGATGAGGAAATTCTTCTGAGATGGATGGTGGTGGGAATCAGGTTTTAGGTAGGCGTCAGTATGGGTTACTTTCCTGTAGACAGAATGGCCCATGCAGCCATCTGATCTCTTTTTGTTTAGGACATCCAAGAAGGGTAGCATGCCATCCTTTTCTACCTCCAAGGTGAATTTGATGGGATGGTGTATGGAATTGATGTGGTTGAGGAATTGGTTCAGAGCTGGTCGGCCATGTGGCCAGATGACAAACGTGCCATCCACGTACCTCTTCCACAAGGACGGGCGTAGATGGATGCCTGGATGGCATCCGTCTCAAATTTTTCCATGAAAATATTGGTGACAACCGGAGACAAGGGAGAATCCATTGGGGTGCCTTCAGTTTGTTTGTAAAATGTTCCATTCTCAACGACTGAGAGCGGCTCCCTGTTGGCCACTCTCTCGACCCTGCCCCGCTCAATACAGTGTACGCCGAGTATGAACCGGGAGCCGAGAATTTTGGAACAAAAAAAAATCAAAAATCTCTTGCTGCGTTGTGGTCCGGGGACCTATATAGGGAACTCATTTTTTGAGTGAGGTAGTTAACATCTCCACACCGTGGCACCCTCCGGTAAATATATTAACTTATTTTTTCCCCAGGTTCTTCCGGGAAGCAACACACGCCCTCCCCCCCTTCCCTATAGAGGCCTCCACACACATATAAGACTTTCCAGAAGGTGTTGGATGTAGTCTGATGCAATTCTGCTACCTAAAACATGTAACATGTATTATATGAACGTTTCTTTGCTGTTTTCAGAAGTACATGTCTTTGAAGTGGTGTTAGAGTTATGCATTTAAATATTTAAAACATTTGAACACTCATGGCCTGACGTTAAGTTGATGCTACTGTTGTTTGTGCCATATTCTGAACCCTCTCACATACAGTATACAATTCTTAGAATCTCATTCTCAAAAGCTTTTCATCATTCTTCAAAAAATATAAGTCAGTTGAGTGCTTTAACTTGCTGGGAAAACCAACGTTAAGGCTTCCACATTTGCATGGTTCAATGCAATCTATCGGACAAATTACTGTTATATAAATGTAACTTATATCTTAGAACTGCTCCCGCCTGCATGTCCACTCTTCACCAACTTGACCAGGGTGGTGAAGTATGGTCAAAAACCCCCCATTACTGACAAGGCGTAGGGAGGCCCTCATCCAGCAGTGCAGTGACAAAGGGCATTATCATTTTATTACGTCATTGCTTTTTAGTGCATAACGCACATAAATGTATGCAGTAAACCCTCCAAACAGCAAATTACCCTTTCTTCCATTGACAGTTGCCGGTAAAATTGTGACATTGACACAGCCTCATTGGGCGCTCCTTGGGCTGGCGTCACTGTGTGGGCTAGCAGGGTGGGGCTGGCAAACAATGGGACGGGGTGACCCACACCTGCCACCCTTCGCCTGCTCGGCGCTGACAAACAGCAGTCAGCTACTCACCGTGAGTTGGCTTGGGAGGGAAGCTCCCACCCGCCCCCCCCCCCCCAAGCTGGTGTAGAAGACAAGTGACACTGTCAGAACATGCAACTAAAGTCACAAGGCTGGGGAAATGCAATCTGCTACGGTACAAATGTCAGCAATATGCCAACTTATGAATCAAACTAATTCCGAAGAATTAGGGTTGAGAGCTGAACTAATGTTGCTCTTTCCATGAACACGGTAGTCAGAGAGTGCAATTCACATCATGATTGAGAGCCAATTATCCCTGGAGAAGCACTGAAATCTGGAGACGCTGATGAACTAAATACATGCGTAATATGTACATAGTGCTCTCTGCTGAACTGACATGGCCCTCTGGAAACACGTGAATCAAAGCGGGAGTTTTCAAGTGACACAAGAGGTAGTTGCAGCCATGCAAATATATCAATAGAGCTGAATTTGAACTCATGACCTTATATTGTTGCCTTTAAAAAAAACTCAGATAAAATATTGTGATCCTGAAATGCAGTGTAAAATATTTTTGTAGGTAGAGGAGCATAAGTTCTCACTTATCTCTCACATTCTGCCCAACATGGAATCACAATAATTAACTCATGCTTAACCTACATATTGAAAATGTGTTTCAATTTTACTACTTCAGCAGTATTCAATGAAACCCGGGCTTGAAGAAATGACTTACAATGAACCGATCCATGACACCAACTCATAAATGGCACGTCCAGAGTACTAAATAAACAATGGCAGCTCAACCTCATGGGAAGTGAGAGTTGCACATCGAAAACTCCTATTCATTAATGACCATGTCGTCCATTGAATTAACCTGCATTAACAAAAGGGCATGGAGCGAGCGGTGTTGCAGTGATTAGCGCCCGACGCTATGAACCTAGTGGACCTCAGCGTGGTAAATGCAGACATGTGTGGTATACGTGTGCAGAGCAGTGGCACCGTTATTAGAACATTGTACCACAAACTCAGTCATTGTGTGATGTTCTAAAACAGTTAAGTGCAATGCAGTGCCATCAAAATTATGCAAGTATGAACAAGGCAGATCCTTCAATGGCACTCCATGAGTGAGTGAATGAACACGTCATGGTGGCGAGTCGTGAAATACCTCGCGTGGTATACAGGAGGTCGTGGGTTCGATCCTGACCCTGACACCCATATATTTGGAGTTTGCATGTTCTCTCTCCCCGTGGTCATGTGGATTTTTTTTCCGGGTCCTCCAGTTTTTCTCTCCACATATAGAAACATGCGTTTACAGTATGAGGCTGCAATAAATTTCCACGTGATAAGTCACTTCGTTGAGCTATCATTTGTGGCCAGGTGCCTTCTGAAAAATGGCTGTATTGCTCAGTGGGCCTTACCTGGGAATATAAAAAGTAGTTAAAATAGTTTTAAATGAATGGTGTGATTCTGCAATTACCTTCGCCTCTCGTTTCCTCCTCTCCTGGAAGTGAGACTCCTGCTCCATGGCGGTGGCTCGCAACCGAGCCTCCAGGCTTTCCATCTCCTCCTGGTGCAGTTTCAAGAGCCGCTCTTTGTCCGCCCCGTGATGCTGCAGGGCCAGCGTCTTGTCCTGCTCCTGCTGTAGGCGTAGCTCCACGATCTGGACACCCAGGGAAGACGGCGTTTGCATGATACTATTTCACGCAGCAAAACATGAATGCCCTCTAGTCCGATTAGCAAGGTTGGCCCTACTCATCTTGTCACATTATTGTCCTTGTACTCTGATCAGTCTGGAGGTGATCTGCCCGAGCCAACTTGCACTGCAGGGAATGCGTAGTTTAACGATGAATTGTGTTTGTGTAATGTTTTAAATAAAATTCACGTGACAGTTGTTTTTGCGCCGATTTCTATTTGCTTCATTGTTTTACTTTTGTAATTTTGATAACCTGAGTAACTCTTGCAAATGAGACTATTCTGGTCTCTTCAGTTCTCTCCAAGTGAAATAAATACACTTGAACTTGACCCGACCCTGGAGAGGGCTGGGACAGATGAACATCGTGGACAACCAATAGTACAGATAGTCCCCGAGTTACGATGGTCCGACTTGCGATATTTCGATCTTACGATGGCGATACGATACGATGGACAGAATCTTGGTGAGTACAGTACAATATGATACGTTACGATACGTCCAATGCATGTATGATACGTAGCTTTAGCAATTTCATTTTAGGGTTACCACGATTCAATACGTTCAATGCATGTAAACAGTTTTTATAGCGGATAGGATTGTTTCCTGAAAAAACTTTCTATTAAATTGCAGTTCACATAGGTAGGCTAAGAATTTACCTTGATTTTTTTTTACTTTACATCTTACTGTGCAATACAGTATTGTAATTAATAAATACATACAGTATATAGTTTATACAGTACGGTACTGTAAATTTCTCTGTTTTGCTAAATTATCACCATTCTTTAAGACTCCTGGGTAGGCTAGGCCATCTTCGACTTACGATATTTTCAACTTACGATGGGGTCGTCGTAACGCATCCCCATCGTAAGTAGAGGACTGCCTGTATAGGCTAAGGGATTAGGCGGTGGGTAGCAGAAGAAAATGTAGTGGCCATTCATTGCTGTACCGTATTTCCAGGCTCCCACACCGATGCTCCCCAACATTACTAACCCACACTTACCAGCGTGGCGGAGACATGTGGTCAAATAGGCCCCCGCGACCTGCACGGCGTGGAGAGGCCCTCACTGATCCAACACGTGTGTTCATATTTAGATTCAGTCTCAAGTAAAGACTTGTGTTGTGTATATATCTTGAATTTCTTTTGCACAATACGTAGCCAACTATGATAATCGGAGGTGTTAGCGACGAGATTTTAACTGAAACAGCTTTCATATATGCAATTACAGAGGCTGATGACACCAGACTTCCCCTCCAAGGGATCCTCTGCAATACTTGCCACACAATGGAGTACTTTCTTACCGTGTTTATGTGGTATAAATACACATAACAGACGTATTACTAAACATAGCATAACCCCTGCCGTAGAAATGTGTAATTCCACCTAAACACTCAAAACTACCGATGGAGACAAGCACCACCTCACACTTATTTCAACACAGCAAACTTTTGCCTCTTAAAACGTTTGACTGTATTACATCCAACATTGAGATGTTTCACAGCTCTGATTAATGCGGTTGGCTACGTGCTGTGCGAAAGACGTTCAACAAACGTAACAAAGCAATTCAGAAACAGGACGGTGCCGACCATGGAACTCGCTGGATAACTCTGCCGCCTCTCTCTCCAGCCTCGACCAGCCGCCAACGGCGGTTAATGCAACAATGGGCGAGCCACGGTGACGAGAGCGGTAGCCCCGTGGGAACCGCCAGCACTCTGCCCTCACTACCCTGGGGTGCTGGGTACCTGCTGCTCGTAACGCTGCCGCAACTGCTCCTGCTGTCTCGTGAACTCCTTCGCCTGCTTCTCCCGCAGTGACTTGGAGCGGGACAAGTCGCTCTCCACCTTCGTCATCTGCGTGGGTGATGGCATGAGCAGATAGGCAGGGCCAGTGTCACGAGTGCTGTCCCCTCACTCGCACGTCGGATGCTTTTGAGCACTCTCTCCAGTGCCCTCGCCCGAATGGCAGGGTACTCGATAAATGAGTGGCCAAACATCCCAAAAGTAGGACCATCCTAAGTAACAAAAATCTTGAAAATTCAATGGAAATTTCCTGAAAAAAATATAAAAATCTGTTAATTATAAGATATTTCAATTTACTGTTGGAAAAAGGCCTCTTGATGCCGTATCGGGTCATTGGGGTTGTTTTACCAGACTCCACCATGCTCGTCAGTGTAAGTTGGTCAATGGTGGTGGCCAGGACCAGCTCGGGTATCTCTCACTACCAATGTGAGCCGTGAGCAGGAATCAAATTCAGACTCCCAGGATCATCGAGTGGTGCACTCAGCACTGCGCGAACTCGCTCCACCACCCCACGGAACAATTATAATTATCGGTATTTCCATCATATTTACAAACATATATTTAAACGGCTATTATGGATGAAACAGCTAAGTTTGTGGAAAAAATTACACACACACACACACGTAATATACGACATGCGTAAAGTTTTACTTGTCCTTCCCCTGCACCTCCGATTAGCGCAGTTGGCTACGTACGAAGGTTTTCACAACATGCTCAACACTACTAAGAGCACAGCGCCTGTTTCCCTCCAGCGGTGTAAGGCACACGATAAATGACACTCGAGGGGAACATTAGTTTGGCTTACAATCAAACCACTGCGTGAGATGTTGTGAACGCACAACAGTATTTCACGTAGTTTGGAACTAAAATAACGCAAGTTAAACTTACGTGCGCCGAGTGCCACACTAAGGTTATGAGAACAAAGGGGAGAAAGGCAAGGTGACAGGCTTCGGCCAACCGCTATTCAGAGTGACCTTAACGGTGCCTTTGATATTTTTCATATCTTTGCAAATGCGTATTTGCTGTTTATTTGCCCTCGCGTGTAAATAAAACCAGAAAAATGTTTAGAAACACCAGGCCTTATTCCAAGTTTTGAGAAAAAAAAGCATATTTGTGCCTGATTTAGTGTGAGAACGGAGGCACATGCCAAGAGCCTTTCAGCAAACTTAAAAGGCCTTTCAACAAGATGGACATTAGGCTCACATATCTCTAAAGAAGAACACTTTTTTATATTTTAAGTCTGTAAATGACAAAAATGGGCTGGGAAAACGACATGAGTGAAATATATAATCAACTGTGCAACGGCAGATGCAGTTTATATTATAGAGCAATTTCAGGATTCAGTCTAGTGAAAGGAAAGCTTCCAACTGTGCCTCCCCCTTTTCACACTAAGGCTATTAAAAGTAAGCACTGAAGCGATAACTTCACTAAGAAGTCTAAAGGACAGGATAACATTGGGTACAACCACAGCATACAAAGTAGTCACTTATGATTATGACATCAGACTCTTTAAATTGCAACATTCAGATACGCGAAGCAACCAAAAAAATACACTTTTTGTTATTTGTTGAACGTTTTCGTTAACATTAACCAGCCATGGTGGCTGCAGAAATGCAAAATATACAACTTCACACATATCGTCTCATATAATCCTGATTTTCATTACCACCACCAATAATTTTCCAAACAAGGACATCCTAATGCTCGATAAAATGGCCCCAATGCCTGGTGTGGCTGCAATGCATTTGCCCGGGACAGTTTGTCCGTGCATACAGAGCTGTCTGCTGCGGTTATCACCTCACCCGTGCAACCCTGCGTGCCGCTATATTATGGAAGACCAAATATATTCCTGTGGAAAAACACACTGAAATCCACCCGACCTCGTCAGATCTTGGCAGCTGAGCAGGGTTAAGCCTCAATAGTACTTGGGATAGATTGGGGTAAAAATCTGGCATTGCAACCTTGGGCTTCACAAGGAGGCCAGGAGAAGCAGCCTATTGAATCTGTCTGTGCGGTGCGTTGAGTGTTACCCCTTCATGTGCGATTGTGAGACTCGCGCTCTGCCATTGTGTTGTCCGTCTAGGTGACGCAATATTGTATGTTTAATGTTTCATTTAACAGGTGCTATCAGCTGCACCATAACCGCTTTAATATGTATGCATGTTTAACTTCGGTCGCACCGTATGTAGCCAACCATACCAATCGGAGGTGCAGGGGAAGGACAACAATCTAAACACAAAAAAGCAACATGCATGTGGATACTGAAAGAAGCACAATGCAGTTTGAAAAAATATATAACCTGAATCATCGTAAACCAGCAATACCCAATAAACGAAAACATATCTTGAGTCATGTGGCTTCTGTGAAGATTCTGTGACTGGATTTAAACCCACGGCCTTCTGCACAGATGAGGAACAGTCCATATTTCTCCATTAACGTGTCAAAGTTACGCATATCTGCGCTCAATCCATCTGTGCTTTAAAGAAAAAGAGCCATTGCCTAAATACTTCGCTTGCTATATATTAGATATGAAAAAAATGTTGACTGTTTCTGCAATGTGCTTGATGTACATAAACACTGAACTTTAACAACATGCTATATGGATTTTTTTTTTCTTCTTCAATAGTTCAAGTTTAATGTGCAATTTTATTGACGAACTCAATGCTGTGTCTGTGTGTCTAGGACTGTTATTGCTGTTGTTGTTTTATTGCCTTGACCAAGCTTACATTTAGTATTGAAAAATCGGCAGGAATTTATATGCTTATACGATTTGTGCTTAGACCCTTAATTTTTTTCCTTTTCTCGACTTTGCACTCCTTTCGCTTGATACAAATTACAGTATTACTAGCTGAACCCACTCCTACTGGACATCTGTGAAAATCAGCTACCTAGCTCATCCGATTCCTCCAGAATGAATACAGATTCTGATTCCGATGTTGTACCATTTTTTCTAGGAGGGGTGATTTGTTTTCAGTGAGAATGGGTTAAAAATTCACAGAGTTTGATTCTGTGCAGGTGACACATCCAAACCCTTCACCTTTATTCCGCTTTTATGTAGCCAATGTCAGGCAATTTAGCAAAGGAAGCCATTCAGTCATAAAACATATGCTCCATAAAGAAATTCTTTAAAGTGTTGCATAATAAAGGAAACTTCAAAAAAAGCGGGGTCCTTTGAATAAACATGTCAAAGTTATAAGAAGGCAAAGCTGTAAACTCGAAACATGTGGAAGTTCTTGTTTTTAATATTCTTGGCGTGCCTTAAAAGCTACTCCTGCATCTGCAGTGTCTCACTAAATTGTGATATTAGCATGAAATTGTTCCTTTAACTCTAAAAGCTGATATTGGCCACTTCATATCTGAATATATACAGTATCTGCTTCATATCACTGCTGTTAGAATATTAATATATGCTTAATGTCATTGCTGTTAGAATATTTTAAAAAATGATGGTGCGAACACAAGAAGACATTTAAAGTTACAAAACACATGGTGACTCACTGAAAACATCGGCAATTGCTTTATACAAATTACAGTATTACGAGTCATATTTGACAATACGGCACCTCAAGCTTTAAATAAATATTCAAAACAATATAAACTTGAATCTTCTGTTTCACCTAGCTGACCCACGTCAGTGCAAAGGGCCTGGTGAATGGCACTCACGTATGTACGTCTGTAATAACGTTTTTTTGGGTTAGATCAGGTAAACGTGTCGTTAATCCGCCGCCGCCACCACCACCACACAGCCAATTTACGAAGGTTTGTCACGTAAACAAAACTTGCCAATTAGTTGCTACTTCAGCAAACCGGTATGTTGGAAAGAAAACCGACATTTACAATTTGAGTACAACGTTTCGCTGGTTATTACAGCCATCCAGAATTGTGAAGAAGTCTTCCTGTTTCGGTCTTCAATGTCGTACTCAAATTGTACATAGTTGTGCGTTTCCTCTCCAACACACCAGTGTGCTGAAGTAGTAAATAACTGGCATGTTTTTGTTAACGTGACAAACCTGAGTAATTGGCTGTGTCTGGTGGCGGTGGGTTAACGAAACATTTATATTTACGCAATCTAACCCAAAAACCTTCATTATGGATAATTGGTCGTGAAAGCCTACATGGTAACGTATATATATATGTATCTTGTTGAACTTCTTTCGCACCATACGTAACCAACCATGCAAATCGGAGATGCTAGTCTGCCCCAAATTTGACTACCTGTTGTCGACATCTAGCAAACAGAGGCACGGCACAATCAAACACACCCGTGCAGGTGCGCATTGCTTATTGCAGTATATGACACTCGCCGACTGCACAAGGAGCCATATAACGTAAAAAAGTTTGTTGGCTTCAAACAGCACCTGTCTGGATGTTACTTGATTGTGCCAATAAAAGCGACGTGACCCAAGAGTCGAGTTAAATGGTGCGTGGGCACGAGCGTAGATTTGTTACGCGTCTTTAAAACAAAAACAAAAAACCGTGCTGCATTTAAAGACAAGCTCTCTCATGTTCCTTTTGCGAAAATTTCATTTGTGGAAACTAAGAGGCAGCTTCTGACCTTCACCTCATTCGGGTCTGGCTATGAATAGTTGCACTATTGATGGAGCCTGCGTTTGCCAATTATTTTCAGAAACAAGGCTGAACGCTGACTAGAGACATGAACCAGATCTGTATGGAAACCCCCACAAAAAAACTGTGGCCTTGTCAACTGTTACTGTGCACTTATGACAAGGACAAATATTAAACGGTTTTTACACATGGCACAGCATTAAAAGGTACTGCCCTTTGAAGAGAGCCGCTGGTATGCTGGGTTACAAAAAGTCAATGAATGCAAAGAGTGAACGATAATTTGTACTACCAGACGCACCTTGCACTTATGAACTGGCGAATAAAATGTAAGCTGTGCAAAGAATAAAATTAACAGCCCCTAGCTGACGAGCGTAACCCTCTCTGCACCCCATCTCAGCGTTCCAACCGAGCTTTCTTTTTTGACAGTGCGTGATTTGGGAAAGAAAGTCATCAACTTGTGGCTTTGTATGCAAAATATTTACGGTGCGGAAAAACTGAATTAGATAAATGTTATCTTCATTTAAAAAAAAACTATAAAGTCAAATCAAAGCATCTAACCTGCTTGGACAAGCACAGAGCAATGGTCATTCTCCATTGGCGGCCGTGAACTGTGAGAAATTCCACAGTCCAAAGTCAAGGACCAGTATCTCCATTGGGCAAACGATGTTGACATTCCACAAAGTGGTACTTATTTTATCAACATTGGAGGGATGATGGATCAGGGTGACCCCAACCATTAATTGCAGTGACTTTACCGAAAGAACCAAAGAGTATGGATTCCTGCAGTCACGAAAACTTCAAATCAAGATTGAAATTAAACCATTCTCATTGTTTTTTTTTCAATGTGTGTATGCGCTGTATAAATGTTCTTTATTTAAGCACGTGAGAGCCTGATTGATATTCTCTTTTGCAAAGGAGGCCTGGAAAATGTGTATGCAAGGATTTTTCCTTAACAATATAATTGTAAGTTTTTGTGAACTGGTTTACAAATGTCTATGTAACAATGGCCATCGTGCAACAAATGACAACGTTAACTGCATGCATAAATAGAGGACACAGAAAGCACATACATATTTAACGGTGCCATTTTGGAGTAAACCGTTAAATATAGGCGCAGCGTTTCACAATGGCCTAAATTTAACATTGTTCCTGCCTATATTTACAACCGTCGGGTGACGAGAAATGCATGGCTTTATTTACATTAGGATTCTGTCTTCAAATCAGGCACTATTTTTAACAATGCTCTGTCTTTGACATTGAGTTATTTGTAAACTTGTCCATTGCTCTCCTTGATATTATATTTAAATTGGAAAAGGAAAGAAAAGTACAACTTGGATGGACAAAAATAAAAACCTCGATAACTTCGTTACTTACACTGCATTAAAACATAGAAAACATTTTTACTTCAACATAACATTGTGGGCAATGGCTCTGCACATCAGAATTCATCGAACATCTATGAATACCGATGTGGAACAATGTTCACTCTATTTTGACAATTATCAACATGTAGGTGTTTAAATCAAACATATTCTTTCATCTCTATGCAAACGTCACTGTTGGATGAAGGGCTCCCCCCAAGTTGTGTCGGTCATGAGCATACTTCACCACGCTGGTCAGCGCAGGTTTGGTGAAATGGGGAGCCTATCACCCTGCGAGCATGTTGATTGCAGTGCTTGAGATGGATTGCACTGTGTGATGAGTTCATTGTGATATGCATGCAGGCGATTGCATTGAACGTGAACAACAGGATTTGAAAACTGAAGTGTCCTTTCACTGAAAGCAAACGCAATAGCATGATGTGTACATATGTTTAGTAGTAGTCGTAGTAATAATAATACAAGATGAATGATCAGTCTTCAATTCAAGATCGTGACTTACAAGCCCAAGGCTGAGGTACAAGCCACAAGGCCCGGGAGCCCATGATGTGGAGGCCAGCGTCAAGGTCGGTCATGACGTGTGACCTCACAGGAAGATGCCATACAACATCATCGGGAGTGGAGTCCAATTTATGACGTATGCATGTATGTTGAACTTCTTTCGCATCGTACATGTGAGGTTATCGCCTTGCCGACAAGGGTTGTCCTTTAAACACTGTTTTAAATCCACAAAATTTTGGGCAACCTTTTAATCAATTTGGTCAGTTCTCTCTACGGTGAGTCCCTAATAACACAAAAAAGTATCGTGTCATTTTGTTCATATTTATTGATCTTACATGTTATTGTGATCTCCTCCTATGAACAGACAGGCATATGGACACGGCTAATACATTAACACTTTCAAACGTAGGTACACAAGACCAATTTGAAACACCCATAACCTAAAAGTTCTTGGATGGAGGATACTCAAGGCCAGAACCCAGAAGCCGACATTAATGTCAAGATCTAAAAAAAGTTCCGCCAGCCGGTCTCGAGGCTTAGGACTGGTCTTGGAGACCCAAGACTGTTTATATCATACACCGTCACTGACTATGTAACAAATAAACAATGAACAGTAAAAAAAAATACATCTCTCCGCAACAGTAGAAACATCACAAATAGATTCCTAGCTCAAGGAATGTTTCTGTAACTTCCTGACTCTCCCCCCCCTCCACCTACTGGACATCTGTGAAAAAGAGCTTCATAGCTCATCAGAATAGCCCTGCAGTCGAAATACACATTTTGGGTGACAAAATATGGGGATGTCAACAGCCCTGCAAGGCAGCAGCATGAGGGTGTGTCCACCTGATGTCGCATCTCGCCATATATCTTCTCTGCGTTGAGCTCCACCTGCTTTTTGAAGTCATCCAGGGCAGCCTCTGCTCGCTGGGCATGAGCCCTCTCCGCCTCCAAGGCCCTGGTGTGGCGTTCCTCCTTCTCTCTGTCTCCCACAAAAGTACCATAGCATCCACAGCAACAGTTATGCCCTGTAAAAGGTTTACAATGTCCTCATGGGCAGCTGCATAAGCCTGGTGGTTAGTGTGCTTACAAATGAGCTGGCACAATGTGACAATTTAGTGGGAAGGTTCCAACTGTTGATTGATATTGTTGTTGTTCTATCAAAATCAAAATGTAATCATGGCCAAAGCCATTAATGCCACCGTGCCATGCCAACACTTTCTGGGCTTTGCCAGGATGTGCAGCTGCCGTACAGGAGACACGTGACTTCCAAGATCTGCCCAAACAGTATCCCACCATCTGGTTCTAAGTCTTCCTCATGGTCACTGGATATATGCTGACCATTAGAATGTCTGTGTAGGCAATCGACCCTCCCCCTATCCTACACACAACCCACACAGCATGACCCATTTTTGCCTCATCATATCTACGAAACGTATCTGCCATGTTATCTTTCAGAATTCTGCATTGCTAATCCTGTTTGGTCATGAAATTCCAAGCATCCATCTCTGCGGCCAAATGCCGGCAACTTCGTTATTTATGAAACTAACAACTACCCTCACTTCTGTATTTATGAGCGATAAAATAAATGGTTCTATCGCAAAACCATGAAAGATGGTGACAGGTTTGGGAAGGCTGGATTATAGTTGTTGGTGCATTTCAAAGTCAAGTCAAACACTCTCTTTATACTGGTAGGAACCACCTGGTTCCACCAGCCCACAGGGGATTATTGTGTCCGTCCGTCCGTCGCGCATCCAAAAATGGAAGGTGTGGGGCTGGGTGGAGAGGGGAGGGTGGGGAGGGGCTGGGTTGGGAGGGTGGGGAGGGGCTGGGTGGGGAGGGGATGGTGGGGAGGGGCTGGGTGGGGAGAATGGAACTGAGTGGGGAGTGGGAGGGGTGGGGCTGGATGGGGAGGGGCTGGTCACCACGTGGTCCCCTTATAAAACTCAACGTTTAACCTACTCACGCCGGCTTGTGCCCGCCCTCACAGTCGGGCATATTTGTAGAATACACCACACCGCCGTTGACCCTGGCCATTGACCGAGCAACCCAACGTTCCTACCGGCTCCCTCCGCAGGAATGTGTTTCAAAGAGCATTAGGGGAGAATTGAATACCATGGGCAACCCTGGAGCCAGTGGTGGAAATTCCACATTCCTAGTTACTAAACAGGACAATACCTTTTGACCTTTCCACAAAGTATCACGAATTTATCAACTCCGGGACTGCTGAGACTCGATTCAGAAATTTCTGATGGCGAGTCTAGCACTCTAACCACAGCGCACACACACGCATAATTTGTTACTCAGTGGAGGTTCAAGGCCCCGTAAAATCGTTCACAAGAGTAAGCCACTGTGCGTTCACAATCACCGCCCTAAGTTTCCATCCAAATAAGGGAAGTCACTTTTAATAAGTAATCCCCCAAGTTAGCTGGAGGTAACAAACACCACAATTAAACAGACATAGATCCTATTCATCTGAAGTGCTATAAAATAAATCACTCTTAATTTCAACTTAGTTACCATATTAATTTGTTAAATCTTTTTCATACATGAGCCTTTAATTTAAACGTTTTTTTATGCAATTAAAGTGCAGTGGCTACACAGAGCGATGACAAAATGTAACTCTTGGAAAGTTTTTAAAAGGCACATATATAATTTCAAATGTGTTCCACACTCAGCTCATAACAATATGCATTGACAAAACTACGTGAACGTGCAAGATTCATGTTGGGAAAAATAAAATCTCCAGTTTTATCATAATATTAATAGTTAACAACCCTCTGTCAATCCACTGCTAAAGGCCTCCCTACTACATGTCCATACACAGAGTAGTGCTTGACCATACTGCTGCATGCCAGTGAGTCTGCACATTAATTAGCACGCGCTCTTATGCGTCCAGTCCATCACGAATGGTCAGTGTGGATCGATGAAGGATGAGTCAAAGGATCGGTAAAGTGGATATCACTCGATGCTGATTTTAGCCACGGCTGGGAACCAAACTTGGGTTGAAGGGTTCACAGTGCAGGATGCTAACTACTATGCAACTGCTCCCCCCTCTTTATTATATATGTCTAAAACAGTGGTTCTTAACCTGGGTTCGATCGAACCCCAGGGGTTCGGTGAGTCAGTCTCAGGGGCTCGGCAGAGGTTAAGACACACACCCGACTCATATGATTGTGCACCAGTAAAACATATACCTATGTTTTGAATTTGAAAAAATCATATTTTATTTTTACAATTAATAAGGGTTCGGTGAATGCGCATATGAAACTGGTGGGGTTCGGTACCTCCAAAAAGGTTAAGAACCACTGGTCTAAAAGTATAGTAGCTCACAGAATAACATCTAATTGGCATAGCACATCAATTCCCCCAAATATTTGCCTCTAGGCATACCATGGTGAAATTTCCATTTGCTAAGCAGCACAACAGCAGGTATAATTACCTCATGCAGGGCCATTACATGGCTGATAGATTGACTTACTGCCGACAACTTCATTGATTTACTCAATGTCCATTACATTCAGAGCATACCAAATATTCCTAATGGATATTTGCATTACAGCACGGTCAATGCTATGACATTTTACGTAAAACAAATTCCCATTTTTACTTAGCCGTAACAATTTTTAACACGAAATTAATTTACTTTGAGATCAGCTGTTGAAATGACACCATGACTTTAAGATATATAAGTATTGAACATTGTACCCCATACAAGGTTCAGAGTGTGTATCAGGTTCATATTTCGATGCCTTTAAGAAGTGCCAGTGCGGAAACGAAAGCCTAATGTATATTTTTCTGCTGAAAGTTAATGAACACGCAGAGGGGGTCGCGTTCAACCTCTCCAAATATATAAAGATGTGCAAGTGAACATACACCTAAATAAATCAACAAATAAATTGATAAACGCATAAATAAATAATAAAGAGCATGTAAGCAAGCTAGCAATAATATCAGGAATTGGCTGGGGGGGGGAGGGGCGGCACCTGATTCCATCTTCCATCTGGCGTATTTTTCTCTGCGCATCAGCCTTGGTTTCTTCCACCTCGGTTTGCACGGATCGTATCTGGGGAAAAAAAAACCAGTAGATTCAAACTGCATCTCTCAGCCCGCAGACACACACGCTGCTCCCAATTACCGCGAGCTTCTCTTACAAACCGCCTTTTCAAATCGATTGGTGAATGCAGATTGGGGCCCCGTTTTTTTAAGCCGTAAGGTATGTCAAAACTTTCCAGGAAATGTACTTTTAAAGTAGAACCTGGCTGAATCAATATAAAAGTGCTTCATCAGATTCGTTTATTTTAATCTCGATCCAGAATACATCCGGCTGTTGCCTAAAGTTGTACCCCAGAAAGCGCAGACATTCCACGTCAGTCGTGGGAGTTGTTTGGCCATAATGCACCAAGCTGGTCAGTGCTGGTTGGTGTAGGCAAGGGGTCGGCAACCTACGACTCCGGAGCTGCATACGGCTCTTTACGGGCTGCTTCTTGACGATATGTACGTATGTACAGTATGTACTCAGATGCATTGCGGCTCTTGAAATACTGAATTTTTTACCGAATTGGAAAGAAATGGCTCTTCTTGTTATTTTGGTTGCCGACCCCTGGTGTAGGGGGAAGGTTTCAAGGATTGGTTCAGATATTACTCGATGATGGCCACGGCCAAGATCTCTGGTTGCCAGGCTGTCAGTCTCACGCACATGATTCCAGAGTGACGTTTGCAAGCCCACCACCGCCTATGCGAATGATGGAGAATATTTTGTGCTGACGATGGTGCAAGTAATGAACAATTGTTGATGAAGACGATACGTGGTGGTGGTTGCATTGGTAACAGTTGATAAAGGTTGTCATAGTGGTAAGTTTCACGACTACAAGGTCAGTTTTTATGGCTCTGAATGTGATGGTGGTGATGTGGTCTAATCACTGTGCCGACGCTTCATCTGTAAATTTGAATCAATTGAAAAAATGTTGAAAAATCTACCAATTATGGAATGGAAAACATTTTTTTCTCGTTTTAAATCTCTGAAAAGGGTTTCATTCTTTTGAGATAAAGCATGCATACATTAATTAGGGAAGATACTGGAGATACTGGAAATGAACAGGCAGAAAAATAAGACATAAAAATAAGAAAGATATCTACCAACTTGGATAAATTGTTGGGAACGCACCTTTTTCTCACTGAGCTGTTCCAACTCAATAATTTGTTGTTTGAATTGATTTTCTTGCTCCTTGGACAATACAAAACAAATAAAAGACAATGTAGGCAGGACAGGCAATACATTTACTCTCTACATTGACACAAATTGATCCCCAAAAGTGTAACCTTGTCTGGTATGTGATGTTAATCAATAAAAATGCTTCGTATAAAAATGAAGTGATTGGCAGAACGGCACAAGATATAGTCACCGTTCTATCATGTTACGTGTTGTTTTTACATAAACATCTCCATTGTTCTCAGCATTTATTGTTTACATAATAAACAGTAACTCTTTTTACAGGCAGTGCCAGTGTTTATACCGACTTTAGGTAAATGTATACTATTGTTTTTTTACATTGATAGCCTGATTATCAAATTATACCGAGTATTTTACCAAACTGGATATTGTACCTGAAATCCCAATAAACCACAAGCACAGTAGTTACACAATTAGACCATTTTACATGGTTAAAATCAGCAAAATGTGAAATTATGCCACGAAATATTTTTTCCAACACAACTGTCAGACAGAGCATTGTATGAACGATGCATCATTTTGTATGAAAAACCACACAGCGACGCCTGTTTGCGAGGCAGGCAAACGGATACTATTCAGTGACCTGAGGCAGGGCAATGCGGTCCATGCCGCTGGATTCTGTCACTCTCTGGTGAGTGTCTAAAATAGGACCGCACTGCCACGATGATTAGGACAGACACAACAGGGATTGCTGATGCGCGCACAGAGGAGACAGCGAGCCTTCAATGAACCCCATGACACAACGATGCTAATGGCCCTCGGTAGGCTTGATTTGTAAAATGACACCGTTGGACCGCACAAAGTCTCACCAACTCATTTTTTCTTGCCCTTGTATATTTTGTTTCTTTTAAAGCTCTCCAGGGCAGACAGCTGAAAACTGATTTGTCTCAGGAATCATGTTTGACCAGACTATAGCCAAGGGAGAGCCACAACTAGGACTGCACACTGAATTGAGTTAATCAGTTAGTGCGATAGGAGAAAATATGTTTTCTATTTGTTTGACAATGAATAGGGGGAGGTGTCTGTAAAGCTAGTCTGTACATTATCAACCAGTGCATGGTCAAAAGTCAAAAGTTTCTGACAATCCACGACTGGATGAAGGCTTCCCTATGCCATGTCGGTCATTGGGGTTGTTGGCCATACTTCACTACGCAGAGTCACTGTGAATTGCTGAAGGACAGGGGCCAAGGCTAGTTTTGATATCACTCAATACTTGATAGCAGTAGCTATGAATAGAACTCAGGTCACTGGGTGTGTAGCGGAATGCTCGAACCACTGCACTACCTTTCAATGTATTAAAATTATACAAAATCAAAGTAATTTCCTGCTTTTTTTTTTTAATATGCTCCAAGCGTGGTGGTGTTTCATTCAGACGCTGTCTCCCCGACAGACCTGGTCTTCACCTGAGGACGGCTGCTTGCGTTGTGGCCGAAACGTTGTGAGAATTATTTCTATTATCTTATTACTTCCCTTCTACGTGACTTTACCGAAAGAACCAAGAAGATGAATCCCTGCAGTCATGAAAGCTTTAAATCGAAATTTTATTTCTTGCTCACTCATCTTGTTGACAGCACTAAGCAAGTGGTAAATTCTACACTTTGCTACAGCAGTGTTTTAAAATAAATCCAATAATATTTCGGGTTTTCATATAATTGACCCTAGAGAGAGCTTGGCTGAGTCAACCTCAAGCAAGGATTTTAACTTAACAACCTTTTGATTTAACACGTAGGCTTTCGCTTTTTGGGTTTAGATCGCGCCATCCTGGCGAATTGCCCGATGATGCTGGATGCAATTACCAGCGAAACGTCGTACTCAAATTGTGAAATGTTGTGGTTTCACGCTTCAACACACCGGTGGGCTAAAGCAGTGAACTATTTGTCTTTTGTCAACGTGACACTTTTTTACTGATTGGCCGTGTCGGGTGGTGGAGGGTTACGACACATTTATAAATAACGCGATCTAAACCAAAAAACGTTGATTATGAACCTTTTGATCGAGAGACAAGTGCGCTAGCCACATCACTATCAGGTTCTATTTAAATCTACAATATTATGTGCAAGAGGCAGATGTTGCTGGACATTGCATTGGCATTAAAAGCAAGAGACAGAGAAAACCTCCTGATAGAATTGTCTGAAAAGAGAGTACAAGGGCATCATTTCTCAAACGTGGTCTCATTCCTCAAATGGCAAACTATCTCATAAATATCATAAACTTGAAACAGTTTAGCAATTAAATCTGAAAACAAGTGGTCTGTTGCATGCCAGTGACAAAGACGACCTAAACATTGCAATCTCCAGAGACTAATGCTGTCACCTACTGTGTCTTCTACGTTATGCAGACTAACGTCAACGGCATTTGCTAAAAAAACATCCACAGAACCAATATCTCTTAAATATACTTGTTGATTTTAGTTTTTTGGGTGCTTCTGACTTACAGTTGAAGAAGTAATTTGTAAACTGAGATTTTAAAAAAATGTGTGCCATGACCGCTGCATTAAAAAAAAAAATATCCACCGAGTTTTACCCCAAAGAATGTCGACCCTTCTGTGGGTTTCTATCAGCGGCTGCCCGGATGGGTTTCAAAATGCATGTTAGATGCTGGAGGTGGCTTATACATGTCAGCAGGGTGCCCTTAATTTTAGCGTGCATGTGCTACTGGGACATGCTTATACACCGAGTCTCTTCTGTGCTAAACGGAAATAAAGAAATGCATTTATTTCATCGAACACGGCGTTGTAGATTACAGCCCCCCGAATGCCTCGCATACTACGCGGGCGCTTTTCTCCCGGAGGTTTCCGCGACGCATTCCTCGGTGTCTGTCATTGCCGGCCGCATTTAGGGATTCGCGCTACTTCTGCAGCTGTCAATAGCGGCCGTCACAAGCTGGCACCCCTCCTCCTATGGCCCATGTCGTCTTCGACAGACCAATACGGCTGAATGGCCGGACGACACCGGTCGCCAATCGCTCATCAAAGTTCGCGAACAATCAGGCAGGGGTGACACCGCACCAATGACAAGGCGCTTGGCCGGGGGCCTCTTTTATTTTAGATAGGCAAGCAGGACACTCTTCCAAAACGAAGCAAATGGTCTGGAAGAGTCGGGAGCACCCAGAAAACAAATACAGGATTGAGTCGATTTTGTGATGGATGTGTAAAAGTAAAACACGACGAGACACGCTGAAAGCGCTTATAAGTTCACATTTGGCAATGCGCGCTCATGTTACAAGCGACCTTGGTCATGTGAGTAGCTCTCACCCTGAGCTGTCTCTGTTTCTGCAGCTCGGTTTCCCTGAGCGATCCCTTGTGCTCCGACACTTCCTTCTCGAGGCCTTCAATGACAGCGGTTGCCTACGAATGGTCCCGCATTCACACAAAACAATCGTTCACCTAGGCTCTGCAACAACATCAAGTCAGTCTATGCCTCAATCTTGATTTGAAGCTTTCGTGACTGCAAGAATCCATACTCTTTGGTTCTTTCGGTAAAGTCATCGAGCAGTGGATTAACAAATGCAGAAATTTGAAAATATAAATATGTTCATTCTGGTTGTGAGTGGAACATTCATCCAAATAGGTAACAAAATACCTGTAAAATATACTTTTAAACCCATTTCTATTTGATTAAATGAACATTTTGAGCATCGAGGAATGTTGTGACCCAAAGTATGAGTCAATAAACCAATAACACATGAGCTATTATCTCGGCTTTTAAGAACTAGCAACCATTAAAAAAAAGCATGTAGTGTATGTCTTAGAGTTCTTTCCATTCAACATTATAAAATATGTGTACATGTCCTAGACATTGACTACATGTATTTTTTGCACATCATAATTCCGAGAAAAACTCGAAAAATATTACAACTTACACTCATTAGATTGACTGCTCAGTGGTAATGTATAAAAGGTTTTTATTTTAAGATTTTTTTTTTTACGGTTGCAGGTGATGGAATAAAAAAAACACGCAGTGTTTACAAAGGAAAGCCGCCAAATGGGATTAAAAGTTTTGCCGACATCACATAAAAGGCTCAAACGTAGCTACTAAAATGGCACATATGTGCAGTCTGTCGACAGCTGAACATATTAACGTTCAATTAACCACACAAAAAGGGCATGCTTATACGTGGTCTGAATTTAAATATTGGAGAGCTTTTTGTTAATAATAATAATGACTGGCAGTGTTGAAAATCAGGTAACTTTTTTTTGCCTTCACTTAAATGTTTACAAATATAAAATGCATTGTGGCGGCACAGCCTTGGAACGCTGAATTAAACAGTGTGGTGCATTATGATTCTGAGAGCGGGCGACACGGTGCTTTGGGTGTTTGATTTCCAATTGGAGGAAGGTTCACAGTTAAAATCCTGGTCTGTGGTTGATTCAGACTAGCTATCATTCTGCTGTGGCTGATAAAATGAATACCGCTTTGTGGCCCGTCAAACAGTGGTCATCTTGTGGACAGACTGACCTCCACCATAGCAATGTAATATTTCACAACTGTGTTCAACAGCCACATTGTACAATGCAACATTTGTTTTCGTCCTCTTTGGCTTGCACCGACTTCAATTCGTTACCCCCATCATCTCTTTTTCCAAGTTTCTGTAGCTTTGCCCAATATAAGCTACACGTTCTTATCTGCTCTGCTATCATTAGCATCCTTAACCGCTGGCCGCGTTGCACTGTAGGCCATTGTGGATGAATGTTCAGCATGTTAGAGAAAGAAGGGAAAAAAATATCTGTAAACTATGATTTTGTTGAATACGCTTACGCTTTTCATACAATTACCCATGCCCACCTCTCATCTCTCATTACATCTCACTCCACACCCCTCCATGCACTCTCCACTACTGGCAACCGAGGCGCTCTGTCACCAACTACCCATACGGCATGAGGAGGCCCTCATCCAGCAATGGACCGAGGAAGGCCTGTGCATGTACATGTACATACACATACATGCCTGACTGCCTCTCTCTCTAAAATAACTACGCCCACCGTTTTTCTAAAGCGTCTCGCGGTGCGGTCACGTCTGTATGCTGTATGAATCCCAAAGGGGTTGATTTTTTTTGTATAAGAGGCAGTCAGCTCGGAGGTGTCTATGCTCTCGAATTCTAGATTTGAAGTTTTCGTGACTGCAAGGATTCATACTCTTTGTTTTTTTCGGTAAAGTCACGTAGGTGAAAAAATAAAATGAAAAATAAATGAAAAACTTAATTAAATCACGACGTTTCGGGCGCAACACAAGCGTCCTTCTTCAGGTGGGGACAACGTAGCGAAAGCACAACCGCTTAAGTGTGTCTCAGAGGTGGCTGTGACGAGGAATTATATAGTCGCGGGGGATGGAGGGAGGGGGGGGCCGAAACGTCGTGATTGAATTGAGTTTTTCATTTATTTTATAATTTTTTTATACCCACGTGACTTTACCGAAAAAACCAACGAGTATGCTCTCGAATTTCAGATTCTCTCAAGAAGGGTTTACGCCGTGTCTTGTCACCTCGGAGGCTGCACGAGCGTTGTCTTGCTTCAGCGACTCCAGCTGTGCCTCCAGGCGTCCCCGGCACTGTTGCAACTTCTCCTCCAGTACCAGCCGGGACCTCTCGCTCTCCTGCTCCAAGCTTGCGTATCTGGCTCGCAACAGGAGGGTAGCAGCGTAGGTTCTCTGCTGAAGTGGATGCAGTTCACTTGTGAATGGGATCTTTGCATTGAGTTTTTTTTTTATAAAACCTGATGATTGCTGGCAGTGAAAGTAGTTAATTGCCATTATTTAACTATGTGAAAATGTGCACGGAATTGTTTTCCCGTTTGCGAGTGAAACTCACAACATGTCATCGCTTTATAAGCCGCTAGAAGGGATGGTGGCTGGTGGTCCAGACAAAATATGGAGTGGCAGCTAAAAGAAGGAACGTGCCTGGAAACGCATCCATTGCGGAGATGGAGCAATGAAAACGGCTCGTGTATTTTCACGGGACCATGAGAGATGGTGATAAATTTGGGAGGCCTTCATCCAACAGTGGGTAATCATCACTTAAGATGATGATAAAATTCATGTTTGAAGTGAAGGTAAGAGCCAAAATAATGAATTAGTCTAATCGCAGTGATCTATCTGAGTGTTCTTGAGAGAAACTTCATAATAACGCGTACAATATTACTATTTTTTTCGTTTGACTGCAGGACATATAAAACATTTGAAATTGGGCTGACAATGGTGCACACAAACGGCCAAGTCTTGGAAATTATGTCACAGGGTTTTTAATGCTCCTTCACACAAGTAAACACTCTCCATAAATAAAAATTTACCATTATAATATACAGCAAAACCTTGGATTGCGAGCATAATTCGTTCCGGAAACGTGTTTGTAATCCAAAGCACTCGAATAGCAAAGCACTCGTATGTCAGTTGTGATCACGTGACGCTCGGCAGACAAAGCGTATACACGTACTGCTCGTATTGCACGACCTCCGCTCGTTTATCAAATTAATATTCATTAAAAAAATTTGCTCGTCTTGCGAAACACTCGCAGACCAAGTTACTCGCAAAGCAAGGTTTTACTGTATTACGCAATTACTAAGCAGACACATTCTATTGAAAGGCGTTGGTTACGACAACCGTGCTGATTTCGATTTAAAGTTTTCGTGACTGCAGGGATTCATCTTCTTGGTTCTTTCGTTAAAGTCACGTAGAAGGGAAATAATAAAATAATAAAAATAAAACATAATAAAATAATTATCACGACGTTTCGGCCACAACGCAAGCAGCCGTCCTCAGGTGAAGAACAGGTCTGTTGGAATGACAGCATCTGACAGACCTATTCTTCACCTGAGGACGGCTGCTTGCGTTGTGGCCGAAACGTCGTGAGAATTATTTTATTATGTTTATTATTTTATTATTTCCTTTCAACGTGACTTTACCGAAAGAACCAAGAAGATGAACCGTGCTGATGTAACCTCTACCTGCTCTTGCTGTATTCCAGCTCTGAGCTGAGCGTACTGCACTGTGCCTCCAGTTGGGCCTTCTCCTGACCGAGCCGCTGCCCGAGTGATGAATTCCTCTCCGCCTCGATGCTCAGTTGCTGGACACGAGACTCCAGCTCTCGTGTCTGCTCCACCTGGGCAAAGTAATGAAACAGTAAAAATTTATTAATTTAAAGCAGTTGAAACTATTCGTGCATGTATAGTCTAGTCAAAGTGCCTCCCTGCTAAATTTAGAAATGGGACGACGCTCATCTCTGTTGAGGGCATAGAGCCATCTTGAGGGCATAGAGCCAGTAGTGGAAATGTAACATTTGGAAGCCACTCTAATATCCAGTGTTCACTTCCCACATAGTACAAAATAGTATTGACCATAGAGGAATGATAGGCTTGGTTAACCCCAAACGTATCCCAAAATTGAATGGCACACAACATTCCTATTCTGAGTAAAGTGCTCTAACCACAGCACCAACCAGCCAAATTAATCCACCTCAAGCATAAAATGTAAGAATTTATTTTCACAAGCATAGCAATAGCTGTATACCAATCTTCCAACTTGCTTCTAAAATCGAATCTCACTGAATGGCACATTGTCCACTTAAAATAATTGGAAATATTTTTGTTAACTGAATAACACATTCCTTTTTGTGCTTGTCTATTGGTAAACCAGACTGTGTTAAATGGAAAAATAAATAAATAAACAGACAATGTTTCCTTCATATATCTGTCTCACCACAAAAGATACAAAAAAAGTATTCCCTACACAACCCGTTGGCCGCATGGCCTTCTGGGAGTGCATAATATTTTCAGCAAATGCAAGAAAACTCTGGACTGGTTTCAACATAGTGTCTCATCAGCAGTCAGGGTTGCTTGAAACACTGGTGGTGAATTACCGATGTTTGCAGCCAAGAACCCTCTCTACACTATGGGTCCTCGTTCCAACTTATTTTAAGTTACGTATGATATGCGTCAAACTGTGAAAGAAATACTTTTTTACCACTATAGCTTACAAGACATTTCTGGCACTGGCTAGTGGCTGATATCTTGGCTTATTTGTTCCTATCACAATTTGCTTGATAACCTGTTTATATTATTTTTTGCATACAATCGTAATCAATATCTGTCAGTTTCAGTGCAAAGAAGGCCCTATGCATTTGAACATAATAAAGCATGAAGTGGCAAAGGAGCATTTGAGCAATAACAAGGAATTATTGGAATATGACAAAACCACTGACCACAAACATACAATGCCCTGTTCTTATCTTTACCATACCATGGTATCTTTACAGATGTGCAATTTTATGGAATTGATATGCTTTATGGACCTCTCAGATGACTCTTCATAGAGCACTTCAATGTACATTGTTTATAAAAACCTGATAATTTTCAACAATGGGACAGTGGGTATCACAGTGTCATACCAACTTCTGCCAAAGTAACAATAATGCTATTTATTTATTTATTCAGGAAAGTATCACTGAGTGCCAAAACATTTTTAGGAGGCTTTCGCAATTGTGATATTTAGCCAAACCTATAATAAGTCTATAAGCAATTATTTATAATCGTAATTTAATGGGAATTGTTTCCCATTAAATTGTGTTTCATTACATTCGCATGAGTAAAGGCGATCACTATGCTCATTTCGTAAGGTGACGTTAGAAAAGAGAATGCCTGTATCCCTCACACACAATACCTGGTGGGGCACTATCACAGGCGAACTCGAGATTCCTACTCTAGACATGCAGTATCATATGCAAACTACTTTGTTCAACATCCCCAAACATGTTTTTTCGGTTTTGAAAACAATTATTTTCCTGCGATTTTGTTTGCAGATTTTACAAATTTTTGATTACTATAAATATTTTTCCGTTAATTATCTCCGTAATTTTTCGGTCACTTAATCATTTATTGTCCCACGCAGCGTTTAGGAGTTGATGAAGCACATGTGTTAAGACGCGTGTTGTAACGTCCAGATCGTGGCGGCTGGCCACCCACCCCTGTTCATGTGGAACTTTGGCCTTCATGAGGTGCTCGCTAAAAGAACTTGTCCGAACAGTCGATGAACGCTATAACGGGGATCTTTGTGTTTTTTTTTTGCAGCAGGAAGGAATAAAACGAAGTGGGCGGGGGGAAAGGAGTTTGAACCCCTCTCACATCGCTCTGCTTTCGGAGAATACGTGCTCTTGCTGAGACGCGCCCTTCCATCTTAAAATGGGGTTATTCTCATGCAATGTTCAATCACCAGGCCTGTAATCTTTTCCATATGAAGTCAGTACAAATGTACATGTGTGGTTTAACTTCCTCGAAATGTAATCTGTTTTGCAAACGAAAATCCGAATGCTCACCACAAACATGCTAAAGCTGATTAAACATCAATGTAATTTGCTACAAATAACCAAAGATCAAACTTTCCTTCATGGTCACAAAAATAAGTATTGTAACAGAAAATATGAATGCAATTGCTCGTGAAAAACGAGGTTATAAGAGATGAGTGTTTATAAATATACTTTCTTAAATAATGTATTCACAAACTTCAGCAATTCTCACAACCACTACTCACGATGTTTTTACTCTACGCTTGCATATATGTGACAAAATATATGAATGCCCTAATCAATGGCTGCGTCCCCTTGTATTTTTTTTTATTATATAACATTATACTTGCAACAAAAAAAGAAAGCGCACACATGTCAAGTTAAACGTTTACGTGTCCATATGCGTTGTAACCTTGGAAATGCATTTTATAAAAGTGACACGCTAAATCTTCGAACGAAACTCAAAAAAGGGGGTAATCTTTAAAAAAATACAAAGCGCACAATGGTGTGATTGGGTATGCGTTGTCTGTAAATGTGTAAAATAAAAATCTGTATTGCAAAAGCCACGGTAGAAATTATAATTTTAAAAGGCACGCGCATCAAGCTTTCAGACCATAAGCTGACTTAAACAACTGCTTTTGAAGAATTGTATCCAGATGTGAACAATGTCATGTTGTGTTGAGAGTAATCCATTACCTGTGCCTTTGAGCAGTAGTGGGGGGCGGGAGGGTGGCCTCAGTAGTTGGTGGGCAAGTGAGAGTGCTTCGTTGTCCGATATTTGCCCCCACCCCCCACAACTAACCGCACCTCCTTCCTCTGTTGCTGCCTGATTTATGCCTGACCTTATAAAATAATTAAAAATACGCACTGCAATGCAATTCCTTCTCTGGAACACAGCTGACTCTTGTGTTCCCTGCCGTGCCCGACGCATTTTTCAGAGCGTATGAACGCAAGTCACTTTGAAGTCAGTGGGTTAGGATGAGCCAAAACGATCCCACCCTGCGCGAGCAAGCCACGGCACGTTCGGGGGGGTCAAATGTTAACGTTCAGGATTTTTTAATCTGTTCGGTAAGAGCGGCAGCTGACACGCCACAGATAATGCGAGGACGTTTGGCAGAAGTTAAGCCAGGACGACAGCAAAGAAAATTGGAACTGTTTGGCATAAGCGCCGAGGCTGAGTGCTTCCAACAACTGTTGCTTGTACGCAGCTTTGGATGGAAGATTTACGAAAGCCGTGATACGTAGGCTTCCCAGAAAAATTACTCTCCGAGTGCCCATCCAAATTGAGAGCAAAATAAACAATCTAACGCTGCCATATATCTGAAATAATGGAGTAATACTCTTTTGGACTATTTATTTATATATTTATGAAAGCACACACAATATACACTTACACAAAGTATGAAACTCATATAAATACACACACATATAAATAAATAAATTGCTAAATTCTACAAGAATGAACTTATTTGGTAATGTTTAGTCATATTTTTGCAGTAAATTTTAAATATATATTATTGAGTGCCAGTCAGCACACTTTTACCACCCAATACTTTTTAACTATAAAATATAAAAACACCCAACTAAATGAAAACAATGGTACCATAGACACACACGTTAAGGTACGGGCTAAAAATGATATTCCAGTATATCAGGTTACAGATCTAGAATAAGCCCTAGCGATGCGTAAAGAGCTCAACCCTTAATTAGGAAGGTCGCAAATTCAAATCGCAGTTCAAGGTTGACTCTGGCGAGCATAACTCTGCGGTCAATAAAAGTAAACACTGATCAATCCTTGAAAAAGGCATGCCCTGTCATTGAAATGTGGACTTTCCAAAGTTGACTCAAGGCCACCAGCAGATATGAACACTGCTCCACTGCTATTTTGAACAGAAAAAGACCAGTTTTTACACCTGGAAAAGACAGGAGTAGGATTAATATACTGTTCTGTATTGTGGCGGATGTAAAAATATTACCTATATATACACACGGGATTATCTTTGTCGTAAAAATGGTGACATGCTCTGACCCTCTTGAAAACAGCTACAAATTAAATCCATGATTGCTGTGGTGTGAAATTTGTCTACGCGACCCTTAACTTGTGTTTTCTATATAAATATACGGAATAACAATGAGTCAATCACATTAAATGACCCATAATTTATATTCCATCATAAGATGCAAGTACCAGGACACTGTGGACACCACATGTTATAAAGAGCGAACATAAAAACGGACGACTATCATACATCTTCTTGGTTCTTTTGGTAAAGTCACGTAGAAGGAAAATAATAAAATAATAAAAATAAAACATAATAAAATAATTCTCACGACGTTTCGGCCACAACGCAAGCAGCCGTCTTCAGGTGGAGAACAGGTCTGTCGAGAAGGCAGAGTCTGCCGACAGACCTGTTCTCCACCTGAAGACGGCTGCTTGCGTTGTGGCCGAAACGTCGTGAGAATTATTTTATTATGTTTTATTTTTATTATTTCCCTTCTACGTGACTTTACTGAAAGAACCAAGAAGATGAATCCCTGCAGTCACGAAAGCTTTAAATCGACTATCATACAGGTAAGGGTTTACGTAATGTTACGCTCAGACATATGGTCTTGGTTACCGACAGAGGTTAGGGTGCGCCGGGGTTGGGGTGGGAGGCCAGGGGAGGGAAGCCAGGCGGAAGGCTAGCGTTAGCAAGCGTGAGGGTCAGCGGTGAGGGTCAGCGCATTGCCTCCCTTGGGGGAGGGCCGAGCTGTGTGCTGGAGGGGCCGCGTGTTCCCACCGTAGCGCGCGACTGTGACGAATACTCGTCCTCCATGGCCGCGAGACGTGTGTTGGTGTCGTCCAACAGAGCCTGGATGTTTTCCGTGTGGCGCTTCTGAAGCTGCAGCTTCTCCACTTCGAAATCCGACGTGGTCTCCGCAAGCTGTGGGTACATTAAATTTCGAGTTAAAGCTTTCGTGACTGCAGGGATTCATCTTCTTGGTTCTTTCGGTAAAGTCACGTAGAATGGAAATAATAAAATAATAAAATAAAACATAATAAAATAATTCTCACGACGTTTCGGCCACAACGCGAGCAGCCGTCCTCAGGTGAAGAAACAGGTCTGTCGGGAAGACAGCGTCTGAAGTGGGTACATTGTTCATAGTCTTAGTTTTTTCGGTAAAGTCACGTAGGTAAAAAATGAAATTTAAATTAATAAAAAATAAAATAATATTAATTTTTATTTCATTTTTTACCTACGTGACTTTACCGAAAAAACTACGAGTATGAATCCTTGCAGTCACGAAAGCTTCAAATCTAGAATTAATACATTGTTCATCATTATCATCAATCGGCCACGATCAATCCCATGTTGGATGAAGGCCGCCCCAAAACCTCAGGGTCATGTGATGTAGCGATCCAATGAGAGCCCATGCACAAGTTGTTTCTTCGCTCCACTTCTCTTTGGAAAGTTTTCCTTCTTTGAATGCCACTCTCTTGTTAGTTTTGACCACTGACCATCATCCCTTCTTGTGATATATCCTGCTTAAGCCAATATGATGCATCAAACCTGTGTGTTCTCTAATTCATGCTTTCCTCTTCCTGTCGATCAATGCAATTCTAAGTGTGCATTTTTTCTCATGTCTCTGTGCGAATGTTTGATTTGTTTGCATCTCCTTGATCAATGACCATAATTCTGATCCACAAAACATTATTCTTTAGAGACATTATTATGTTCCTTGGGTACATTATCACTCAATTCCCAATGCAAGCAATGTTTAGTGTTTACAAAAAGAAGTAGGAAATAAAAAAAATCTCTTTATTAAAATCAAACTTCTCCTGTTTTCACACAAATAAGATGAGTAATTTGTCTTATTCCAAAATGAAATTGTTTCTCTTCATCCTATAGTGGCATCATGTACTCATATTTTTGCATTGCTTTTACATTAGAATTCTAAATTATAAGTCTTTAATCAGATTAACATCGTCAAATACAGCTTATTTCATAAAAATGCATTCACTGTGTCCGAAATACATTTAAATGGCACAATATAAATTAGACCAAAATTTCAATGCCGTATTGCAAGGATAGTTTTTGTTGGAAAAAATGTTCTACCTATCCTCTCGATTTTCCCTAAATAACTTTTTAAACGAATAAGCAGTCGTTAATTTCAATAACAAAAGTTGACATGAAAAGCTGGCTAAAAAACAATGTCTCCCTGTTCTTGGTTCTTTCGGTAAAGTCACGTAGAAGGGAAGTAATAAAATAATAAAAATAAAACATAATAAAATAATTCTCACGACGTTTCGGCCACAACGCAAGCAGCCGTCCTCAGGTGAAGAACAGGTCTGTCGGGGAGACAGCGTCTGACAGACCTTCTACGTGACTTTACCGAAAGAACCAAGAAGATGAATCCCTGCAGTCACGAAAGCTTTAAATCGAAATTTAATGTCTCCCTGGTCAAGCGGGCATTGGCAAGAAAGCGATCGTCCTCTGTTAGTGGCCCTGAGTAAGCAACGGAAATTCCACAAACCCATGGCGGGGCCAAGTTTATCAACAGCAAAGACCATCAATGTGTGACTTCCCATAAAAAAAACAGCGCTGCGATATTTTACTGACCTGAGAAGACCGATGGCCTGAGTCAACCCCCCAACAGAGATGTGAACTAGTAACCTTCCGACTGCGAGCCATGTGTTCCAACCAAAACACTGCCCGGACAGATTGGTAATGAACTAGAGTGGGGGATTTTTTTTTTTGCAAATGTCCTTAATAATGAATAGAGCCACAGAGGCGTTTACATCTTGTTAAGAGTGATGGAAAGTAGTCAAAGGAAAAGAGATTTTTTTTTCTTTCCAAATTGGTCTATGCGGGTAATTTGCAAATTTGGACTGTGATTGTAGCACAGCATGTGGCATACTCCTGAGAATGATGTCAACTTAATGCCCACTTTACATCAAATTCAGCGTTGATGTGATCTAGCACATCAAAGCACATGTCCATTATACAAGGCAGACACACTGTTTTTAAACTTGGCTATTAATTTAAAATAACTACAGGCATGAATGCATGACTATATTTTTATACACGTCCATTAGTAACTTCTGACGTCAACGTACTCTTTATGTAGTTAAATAAATATGGACTTCAGAATTTTTTGTCAATAAAAGTCTATATTTTTACACGCAGGAAAAAAATTCCTATAAATCACTTACAAAGGACCACAGTAAAACTACGCTAATGTAGACACGTTTTATTTTTTTTATACAACAAAAGCATTTTACAAAAATGGGTGAAACATTAACACAAAAGGTAAAAGATCAGCCCTGGAATTGCTTGCTCATGCTGGCTGGAGTGTCTCCAATAGAAAAACTCTGGAGGGAGTTTGGCCTCCTTGTCTACTCTGGCCAGATGTCTAGAGAGACGTGTGAGTATGCAAGTCACCACACCACACGCGACCTGCCGATTGAGTAACTGGGACGTGTCCATTGATACTTCTGTGTGGACAGAGGCGGGAAGATTTGAGAAACGTTCCTATTGTTTCAACTGCTGTGCAGTGGCGAGATGTTGAATACTTCGTAAAGTATGCAGGAGGTCATAGGTTCGATCCCGACAGTGACACCTGTATATTTTGAGTTTGCACTTTCTTCCCTGGTGGCATGAAGTTTTCACCGGGTCCTCTGGTTTGACCCTCCACATTTAGAAACATGCGTTTAGAGTATTTATTTGGCTGAAATAATTTTCCACGTAAGCCACTTCGTTGAGCTATCATTTGTGGCCAGGTTGCTTCCGAAAAAGAGCTATTTAGCCCCGTGGGCCTTATCTGGTAGAATAAAAATAAAAACTTTAAGTTTTTAAAATAATTTTAACAAACAGGTGATCTCTGGTTTGAAAGTCCAATGTGTGCCGACCAATTTACCCAGGCAGCATCTCAAGCATATTAATGCAGTTCTCTAAATGTCTATCCGATACATTTTTTAAAGCAGAGTTCTCTAAGTGTGGGTGAAGCTGTTAAACATATCCATCTTTTCCCACGTAACATAATAATGTGCATGCCCTGTTCATTGTAAACAAACCTTGCTCTCATACTGGGACCTGAGGTCTTCAATGTTGTGCTCAGAAGTTCTCGCCAGGTCAACCAGCTCCCTGTCTTTGCTCTCCTGTAGAACCTGGGCCTCCCACATGAGGGCCTGCACTGGAGGGAGCAAAGACAAAGATGCCCCGAATAGCCTTCAACATACCGTTGGGGAAAGTGCTGTTTGAAAACACCAATAAAGGCCGACAGTGCATAAAGAGGTGGTGTGACCAGCACAATGCCCAGCTGCCTTTGCCTCTGCAATGCTGATGTTCCGAGTACTCAGTTAAGGGGGTGCCCAGGATAGACTCAGATACCACTCTCCATGGACGTTAGCAACGGCCAAGAATCAAACTCAAGTAGCGCAGTGTGTTAACCACTGCGCCACAATTCCCCCTTAACACACACACAGACACATTAACAAAAAAATGCGACGGTCTGGCCACCCCACCAGTGGTATCCCTCAATGATACTGAGGAATCAAACACAAGAAAGTGATCCCCCATGTAGCTTTTCAAGGCCGACATGGCACACGAGGGAGTGGGTGGCCACCACCACACCCGGTCGTCTTTGTCTCCCCAGTGGCGATGTTTATACACCACATCAGGTACTCATTTCAAACGGAGTCAAGCGAAGGGAGGCCCGGAACCGGTTCAGATATTTGTCACCGATGTTGGCGGTGGCCGTGAGTGGCAATTGAACTCAGGTCGCCGGGTTCGCAGCATGCTAACCACAGTGCAACCGCTTCCCACTGGAGGAAATACACACATGCACAAGCTCACACAACAAAAAACATTAATAAATACATTCATGTGTTTAGGGAGAGAAAAAGCGCAGGTCTTTGGTCCTGCAAGGATTTAAATGAATGTATATTCAATGCGGTACATTCATTTAAAAACCAATAGCATGTGTAACATGTCACAAGTTTTAAAATTATTCTATAATTCAATTGCAACTCTTTATTGCCTCTTCATGAGGACCAAATGAAGACTATTTTAACCTGCGTCTTACACACGAAAAAACCTGTTGTCTTCTGCAGTCTCTGAGACAGTACCATTGACGCTTTAGCTTTTTCATCGAAAAAACAGAGCGCTCACTCCTATTAACTCTTGTTAATATACCACGAGGGGTGATTCAATTATGACAACATCCTGATGTGTTCTTACTGCTCACTTTGAATTTTACTTAAACTTTCGAACACATCAATGATAAGTGTAACTTTAATGGAATAAGCATTCATAGATGTGCATTATTGCCCTTACGTGTTTGGTAATCATCCCACAAGATCTTTAACCATTGTTACCCACTGAACTCGTATCGGCTAGGCCAGGGGTCGGCAAACCTGCAGCTCCAGAGCCGCAAGCGGGTCTTTAAGGACTGTTTGATGGCGTAATTTATTACGGACCACTATCTCATATTCACATGCATTATGGTTCTTGAAAGTGTTTGTTTTTTTAACCAAATTTGAAAAAATTCCTCTTCTTGTAATTTTGGTTGCCGACCCCTGGTCTAGGCTAATCACGAGGCTATTTGAAGAGAATGGTACTGCATGTATATTATAAATGTAATTCAAATACCTTTCTTTTCCAGCTTCTTGATGGTGTCGTCTGCCTCCTTCTGCTTCCTCCGGTTGAGGGACTTGACCTCCTCAATCTCGCCATTCTTACGGTCTAGAATCTGTTTCAACGAAGAAAATTTAAACAAAACACAAATATTGCAATGAGCAAAGGGACGTAAGTTAACAACAGCGTACATTTATAATACGCCCATGATGTAACTAACTTCTCAGAGTTCAGAACGACATAGGAGGGAACGGAAATGATTGGGACAGACGGAGCAAGCAAAGGAGGGGAAAAAACAATGAAGGGTGGAACATTCAACTTCTTTCTTAGTGGGCCTGAACTAGAGCAACAATGAGATGTTACCACTGAATTGCATCATCCTGAGCCTTACTCAGTACTGGTATGCCTGCTTCGAACTTGACTACGAGTTACGACTAAAAGCCAATATCTTCTCATGCTCAAAATATAATTCGGCAGCAATCACCTTCGTTGGGGGTCCAGAGTCAGTTGAGAAAATTCTGTATTCTTGTGGCGGGGAAATGGTACTCATTTTATTGATCGCAGAAGGAAGATAGGTAGAATGGATCCCCAATCAGGACATGAATTCAAAAACTTAGAATTTTGAGCAGAGCACTAAGCCACAATGCTATCATGATCATCATTGCCATCCCTCACGGTTCCGCTGTACAAAAACCCATCTCGAGCACATGAGATGATTTCATCGCTGCGGTTGTCATCCTCTTGACATGTTCACTCCTTTGGCTACCATTCCATCTCTAGTCTCATCCAACAGTTATCATCTCTACTAATGATGTGTCCTACCCAAGGCTAAACGTACTTTTAAAAAGTCAACCAGATGTCTATAATTTGTATTTGTTCTCTGGTTCATATGATCTTCTGTCTCTCGTTGTAATTCCCAATGTGCTTCTTGATGTACAAATACTTCAACATCACTTCTGCCTCCCTCTTTGATGGAAGCGATTGAAGTATTACTCCAAGATTAAAGTATTTCATTCTCTATGTAAAGGACAAAATACAGTTGTATAAGCAAACCTCATGAGCTTTCATTACAGCGGGCTCCTGCCAAATGTATTACTATGACACTCCAGTGTATTGCAATTGCTAGAAAATGTCATCATATTCTTGGTTCTTTCGGTAAAGTCACGTAGTCGAAACGTCGTGAGAATTTTATTGTTTAATATTTTTATTATTTTATTATTTCCCTTCTACGTGACTTTACCGAAAGACCCAAGAATATGAATCCCTGCAGTCACAAAAGCTTTAAATCAAAATTTAAATCAAAATTTAAAATGTAATCATGTTTGGATATTTTATTAACCATTAATATCAGTCGACTCATGAATTACATTAATGGGTACTTTCCAAGAATTTGTATGATTAGAGGGTGAGAACGAGTTGACTGGCTCCAGATTTCAGTGCTAACATTATATTTAAAGTCAAAATGCACTCAGGTATGATCCTTGATAATTTTATGCATACAGTACAGGCAAGACTCTCCTCCCGACAAAACAGCTTAAATACATCACCTTGGCAATTTGCCCTGTTGTTGGTAATAAAGATATCACTCTTTTGCAAATCTGACAAGAAAGGGACATCCTATGATCATGTTTATATGATAACCAATGATGTGATAAGATAAAAAAAATTACATAATCTCTATCAAATCAAACATATCAACATAACACAGCAAACAATGATTAATGTCTCACATTTATCTTGATTCTAGCCAGATATTCTACTTGTTTCCTACCCATGCTGCAGACATAAACATGCCTTTTTATGTATTCACAGTTCAATAAAAATGATGTGCCAATACAATCTTCTAAATAAAAAAAGTAAAAATTTGTGTGTGGGTTTGTGTGTTCGCGTGCTTGCGAAGGATTTGGCTCTCCAACGGTGGGGTTTACGTACAATAAAAATAGCCAGGTACCACGCCGTAAGCCCCGCTGCAAGCAAGCGCTATTCCTTTTTCACATACGTCAACTTAAAATTAGTTTAATTAGCGATTTAGTGCGATTTTTGTGCGCTATCTCTTTATTTATTTATGACGCGTGCACGACCATACCTACTCACGCGCCTTTGTTGGGGGGTACAGGCCCATGCCAAGTCGCACGCCTTCGGTGGAAGTGAGGGGGACTTGTTCTTTCGTGTTAAAAATGTTATAAAAATACACTAAACACTGAGCTTAAATCTTCACTATGTGATATCCCCCCCACCCCGATGCGTGCAGTTACTACTATATACAGTCGGTAGATGCAGAGCGGCCGGGGAGATCGTGGCTGGAGGGGGGGGGGGGTCATGGGCAGCAGCCCAGCCTGCCAAGGTGCCACCCCGGCCAGCTGGACAATCTAGGTGAGGCCGGAGGCTCTGCACAGGTCAAGGCCTCACCACGCCACTCTGTCAGGTGAGTACTTTGTGCTAGAGACTCGATAAATACTGCTATAGAGTCAGCATGTACTACTGTAGTGATAGCAGGTACCACCACAGTCGGTATGCACTGCTGTAATCATAGCAGATACCACTACAGTCAGTATGCACTGCTGTTAGATTTTTAAGAGTTTTGACATATTTTTTGACCCGGCCAATGCCGGGTACTTCCCGCTAGTATTAGCTAAAATTAATTCTACCTGATACAGAGTTTAAGAATAAAATAAAACGTAGTTTATATAGTCAATTGGAGTGTGCCAATTTGACTTTAAATATATTACCTTCTATCACACATTGTAAATTCCTCCAAAGATGTAAAGGGTGGTTTTGTTTATATCTGCTGCTGTTCAGATGTTTCAAACCGCATACGAAGACTGGTGTAATCCATTTGTCTTCATAACCAAAACTATTTTTTTACGTTAAAAAGGCTATTTTGGACAAGGCATCTGAAATGTGGGACCCATATGAGAGCTGCTGATGCTACCATGCCTTTCATTTAATGTTATACGCTGTTTATATAGTATAACTTTACAGTTCACACCAGTTTGTTTTTAGTTCACCGAATTTAGAGTTAAAGATGGAAACGTCCCCGCACCACTCAGTTACAAGCGTAGAGAAATAAATAAAAATCTGCATGCAGCGTTGCAAAGGATGGTCTTATTTATCTCAGCAAGTCTCTGCCAGCTTGAAATCCACACTGCTTTCTCTATTGCCCTCCACAAAATAAACACACCTAGCTTCTGAGGAAGCTCACAAGGCAAGACGCCAGCGGTACATTATGCAAATCCCAGCTTTGTGCAGGCAGAGGAATGGCAAAACCTTGCTCTTGAACTTGAGCTGCTCTTGTGAAAACCGCACTCAATATGTTGGAAACGATTTTATTTATACTAAACAAGTCTGTTTTCGTTGTCTTTTCAAACACGTCTACCAATGAATGTGAATGTAACTGACAGCACAACATTTTTTTCTAAACGTTGTGTTATTATATTGTTAGAGCAATTAAATTACAATAAGCATCAATGTTTGGCAACAACAATGTATTTCCCCTTTTGTATTTACAATACGATTATGATATTTGAAATATAATTATTTTAATGGCTGGCCAGGCAGCACTGTGGTGAGAGCAAATAAATCACAATAAAAAATGTAACATTTTAAATAACCGCCAACAGGCATTTGAACTAAGTATCACTTGATGGGAAGTCAAGTGGTCATGCTATGGAAATAATGGTCCCTGCCATGGGAATATGGAATTTACATGGCTGGCTTTGGGCCATCAATGGCAAATGAGTGCTGCTCCATTGCTCATTTGAGCTGGGGAACACCAACTTGAATTATCTTACGAAACATGTCAAACGTAAAGTTGCATTATTATTGTGTATTTAACACCATTATTGAAAGAATAAAAATTGTCATTTTGATACTGTAACAGAGGGCAGTGACATTACATCATCATCTGTCCCTTCTGCCTGCTGATTTGCGATCATGGTGCAAACAAATTTCCACGATTCTGTTTCTTTATCCAGTATCACTGCGTCATTCAATCTCGAAACGACCACAAATACCAGCTATTAAAGCAAATCCTGGAAGGAAAAATCGAAGGGAAAAACGACCAGGACGGCCAAAAACGACATGGCTCAGTAACATCAAAACATGGCTACAATTAACAACAGCACAAACTCTACACGCCGTGCTAGACCGGGACCAATATCATCGTGAAGTCGCACACGCCGTTAGGCAGCACTAAAGAAGAAGAATTCAATCTCAACGCGTATTGTTCCAGACCTTTTACCACAGTCTCACATCATGTAAGAATGACTTCTGAATTTATTCAAAAAGGTATATTATTTAACACGAGATGGAATATGTGTATGCCTTACAAGCAACTTTCATTATTTGCTAATCAAACAAAATATTTTGAACTTGCTGAAATACGTGAAAACCCAAAAATCTAATCTTCTTGGTTCTTTCGGTAAAGTCACGTAGAATGGAAATAATAAAATAATAAAAATAAAACATAATTAAATAATTCTCACGACGTTTCGGCCACAACGCAAGCAGCCGTCCTCAGGTGAAGAACAGGTCTGTCGGAAAGACGCTGCCTTTATTATTTCCCTTCTACGTGACTTTACCGAAAGAACCAAGAAGATGAATCCCTGCAGTCACGAAAGTTTTAAATCGAAAAAAAATTGGAAAGTTTTGTTTTTGTGCACTCAGTGGTGACTGGGCTGAGGCCATCGTCTCACTGCACTTGTGAACGTGATTTAATCATGGGGAGCTGAAACTCAGGACGTCATGCCGTGTTTCCACAACCAGAGGGAAGTGTGCTGTCTTGGTGTATGACCCGGGCTGGTCTTGCAACAACAAGCCGGCATTTCCCCACGGCAGCCCTACTGGGCCTACCTGACAGCAAGCAAGCTCATCCTGTGCCGTACGCCTTCATCCGGGCCAACTGCACAACCAGTTGTGACACCATGATGTGCTCAACACAAATATGGAAAGCATGCCCCACGACAGTACTCGCTTTGCACCAACTTAAAGAGCCGTGTTTCGGTTAAGACCACAAGGCGGAAAATTACAAAAAAAAAATGTTTTATTACAAAAGGTAAACTTAATCCAAGCCTCCATTAAACTTTGTTTAAACAAGTTTTTTTTTCCAAGATTGCT